TCTTCACATTTAGAAAGGTCTTCCATTGTGTTTTATTTCAGTGGCCTTCGCCTATATAGTACTGAGGTTTTGGGCAGCAGATTAATTATAGATTCATTGATTAATTATGTATTGACTCTCAGCAACCACGGTGATAGATTTTTATCCTTGACAATCAGTCCCCAACTGCTCCTTCAGGTCTTTCAACAGGATATTCATTGTCGCTGTAGCTAACTAAATCCATCCACCTTGCTGTTGGTTGTCTTCTTTTCTTTCTACCTTTCTCACCATCAGAACTTTCTCTAGAACATCTGTGGAGATTCTCAGTCATGGTTATCTCAAAAGGCACCTTTGTTTCTCCTTGACGTTTCTCTGCTCTTCCAAGAAGCCTCTTCAGTTCTAACAGTTAAAACTGAAGAAGCTTCTTGGATGAGAAGTGAAACGTCTTCAAGGAAAAACAAAGAAAGTCCAGTTGCCTTTTGAAAAAACATCTATTGTATGTGAAGTAGGATAATTTGAGCCTGGTCACCTATCCCTTGAATTCTGGACTACTTTCTACAGTGTCCTTTTTAAAAAAAAAAAAAATTCGGTTGTCCATGGTATTCTAAGGAGTCTTCTCCAACACCCAAGCTCAAAAGCACCAATATTCTTTTTCAATATTAATTACAGTTTGACCTGTAGTGAATCTTTATGATTTTCTATATTAATACATTGCTGCATTTTTGTGCATTCCTAAGATTGATATTTTGTGCATTCAAATGATTAGGATGATACGGAATAGCTGTGAAAGAAAGAAATCTCAATTATATATTTTGAGGAGCAAATTGGAAATTTTTTTATAGGAATCAATGGAAGGATACTACAGTTCTGCTGTAATCCTTTGTGATGCTTTCACAGTTTCATTTTATTCTGCTTCTGCTCACTGTAGTGACTGATTACAGGAAATTATCTTTCCAGTGAGATCTGGAAACTATTTGTACAAGTGATTCTGACTAATTGCTCACCCAGTTGTGATATCAAGTCAAATTAATTTGCCTGACTACGTTCTGTATGGAGTCTTATTATTTATAAGTACTATTTATCAGTGCTATCTGTAAGCGTGTATATGAGAAGATAACTTGTTTGATGGCTACCCAGGTTCCGTGGGCCATATGTATATATGAAGCCCTATTTATTTATTTATTTATTTAGAATATGGCATATCCTGCATGGACTAGCAATAGATATTAACCAGCAATAGATAATAATATTCACCTAGATTAGCAGAACACAATAAAATATAAATGTTAAAAAAGATGTGTGTTCAAACACCAACGTCTAGACCACCTAACCATTGAAGCACAGTATCATTTATATTTAAAGCATCAGATACTGGACTGGTATATGCTCTCAGCATACAGCTGGGCACTATATGATCTACAATTTGACGTGAGACCCCACAGTCACACTCAAGGGAGGATACTATGCCCCATTTATACAGAGAGTCCTGGAAGATAGCAATAGCACTTAGACTTGTATACTGTTTCACAGTGCTTTACAGCCCCCTGAGTCTAAGTGGTTTCAGAGTCAGCCTCTTGCCCCCAGCAATCTGGCTCCTCATTTTACCCACCTCGGAAGGATGGAAGGCTGAGTCAACCTTGAGCCTAGTGAGATTCGAACTGCTGAATTGTAGGCAGCCGGCAGCCAAGCAGAAGTAGCCTGCAAGCGCTGCGTTCTCTTTAGCAACTATCTTGCTTAGCAGCGGAATTTTTTGAGGCGTAAGTTTACATAAGTTGTAAGTTGAGAACTACCTGTAATAAAGCTTCCCAGCTTTCTCTTCTGCAGCGGAGAGTAGAAAGATACAGGTAGAAAGTTGTTGGCATGGAAGATGGCTTTGATTCCTGGAAAGCTGTACAGGGAAAATCCAGCTATTTAAACTGATAATAATCATGACATAAATTCGGGGTTGTTGTTGTTTTGCCACCATTCGTTCTCTGTGGGATTGGATAGGCTATGCTCTTTTGCTAGAAGCTGCTTATTTATTGCGTTAATATATTTTGTGCTCATTATATCTGCAAGCATTACAGAAATTAAAATGAACTGCTGCCAATAATTGGAATCTATCAGATCTGCTCCCTGCTGTTTCATCAGCTTCCCTGTGCTCCTGGGTGTTCATTATAGACTATAATAGCTTCTGTTGCTGGGGTTTGACTTTTAAGATTAAGAAAAGTTCATAAAAATAGATACTGAGCTTTGGAAGGTACCTAAAATACCTTTCACCCAGGTGGAATTTAGAGCTTTTTCTCAACTGTGTTTTGATAGTAAAGGATGGGGGAAGAGGGACAAATTAGAGGAGTAAAATGCCTTGGAGTTGTTGGTTTTTTTAACAGATTAACAGAGTTGTAGGTCATCTAGTCCAGGGGTCGCCAACCTTTTGGACCTCAGGGATCACCAAACTCATAATTTTAAATCACATGGACCACTAATAGGAATTTTGACTGACGGTAGCTTGCTGATAATTGGTGGGAATGTTTTTGGGGTTTTCCCAGGATCTCTGCAGAAAAAGCAGAAGCAGCAGAGACCCTGGGAAAATCCCCCCCAAAAGTCTGCAGGAAAATCCCCTACCAATCAAATGTTCTTTATTTGGGATCGCAGGATACCGTCTACAGCTCCGTTCTCATGGGGAGAGAGAGAGAGTGAGACTTTTGGCTTCATGCAAGGAAAGCAGCAGAAGCAGCAGAAGTCTTTTTTTTTTCTTTCCCCCAAACTCCACCAGAAATGAGTCTTTGTGAGACTTGACACCACCAGCGCAGCCTTTTGGAGAAGGATGCCTTGCAGAGTCCCAAAGACACATTTCTGGCAGAGTTTTGGGGGAGAGAAAGAAAGACTTTTGCTGCTTTCCTTACGTGCAGCCAAAAGCAGAAGAAGAAAGAAGCGGAAAAAAGCAGGCCGGTGGCCATGTGAGGCGCGTGGGGCAAGTTTCCACCCTCTGCCCTTTCCCCTCTCCCCTCACTACCTCATGTTGTTCTCAATGCAAGCGACGCAAGCCTTGTGTTCCACAGGCCATGTGGGCGGCGCGGCCTTGTGTTCCTGCACAGCCTGGATTAATTGCTTTGGGGGTGAAATTTCTCTGGATCTAATCCAAAGCCTGCCCAAGCAGGAGACCCTACACTCGTGTTGGCGAACCTATGGCATGTGTGCCGGAAGTGGCACGCAGAGCCACTTCTGCCAGCACGTGAGAGCTCTCCCGGAAGAGCCACACTGTGCATGCGCGTGCTTCGCCACTGCACACCAGCTGATTGTCAGGTATCTGGCGCGCATGCATGGGGGGGGCAGGGGGCGCAGGAGACACATGCGCTGATGCAGAGATGTGCAGCGCACGCAGGGAAGTCGCACATGCACGTGCAGAGATGCATGGCGCACAGAGGGATTGCCGCATGCACAGGCGCATGCCATGTGGGGGAAATCGCGCTCACATGTGCAGGTGCACGGTGCACAGCGGGGAAATCGCGCGCACATGTCAGAGATGCACGACGCCTGGGGCGATCGTATGCGCATACGCAGGGGCGTGGGGGGACAGCATGCATTGCCTTCTGGGCACTGGCATGCGAGCGCGAACAAATGAGCGGGCTCGCAGTTACCATTTCTGAGAGATGGCAGTCCAGTCTCTTCTTAACAGTTTTGAGTCTGCCATGAGACGTAGCATTCCCATTTCCCATGTTTTAAAAAATGCATTTTTGTATTGCTCAGTAGCAATAAAAGCAGCGTCCCAATAATAAGAACAGCCATTATAGAAACTACATAAGGAAAAGGATTCCTAATCTGACTGCAGATTATTTTTGGCGGGCCATTAAGGAGACTCTGGAAATCTGAGAATCATGACTGCAATCATAGAATATGGAGCAGTCTCGCTCTTTGTACTACGTGTCCCATCTTTTGCAAGGTTTGGTTATAGGTTTTGAAAATTTCTCCATGGCAGAAGAATCTCAAAAAGGAGATGTTACTTCTTTCAGGGACAAGGAATAGCCTATATCAGGCTTCTGTTATTTGGGGATCAAGACGTCGTCATCATCTGAATTGGAAGGGACCTTAGAGGTCTTCTAGCCTACCCCCACCTCAAGCAGGAGATCCTATGCCCGTGGTGGTGATGCAGAGCCATTTGTGCGGGCACGCAAGCCTCAGCCTGCACAAACTTACCTGCACTGTGCATGCGCACGCCTCCCAGCTGATTTTCGGCCCGTTTGAGGCCATTTTTGCCCTCCTGGAGGCTCAACGGAAGCTTCTGCAGCCTCGGGAAGCCGAAAAACGGGCCTTCCGGAAATACCAGAAGTGCCGAAACGGGCCTGTTTTCAGCCTCCCGAGGCTGCAGAGGCTTCCCTCGGGCCTGCAAGAGGGCGAAAACAGCCTCCCCCAGACTCCAGAGGCCCTTCGGAGTCTGAAAATGGGCACGTCCGGTATTTCCGGAAGGCCCGTTTTTCTGCCTCCCGAGGCTGCAGAGGCTTCCCTCGAGCCTCTGGGAGGTGAAAGTGGCCTCAAACAGGTCAAAAATCAGCTGGGCGGCGCACACATGTGCAGTGCAGGTAAGGGGGCGGGGGTGTTGCATGCCTATGTGCAGGGGGTGGGGGGGGTGCCGGCATGCGCACGCTTTCGGCACACCACAACAAAAAGGTTCGCCATCACTGTCCTATGCCATTTCACACAAATTAATGTCCAATGTCTTCTTAAAAGCCTCCAGTGATGGAGCAATCCCCGCCTTTCTGAAGGCAGGCTGTTCCACTGGTTGATTGTTCTCACCGAAATTTCTCCTTAGGTTGCTTCTCTCCTTGGTTAGTTTCCATCCATTGCTTCTTGTCCTGCCTTCTGGTGCTGGGGGAAAATGTTGGTTTTGGAAATTCTGATGCTTCTGTGCTCCCCGCTAATATACTTGGATCTGTCTTGGCTCAATGGAAGTTACGACTTTTCATGTGCAAAAAATAATGAACGCATATGGAGTTTCTAATGTACACTTTCGTCACTTGAGGAATTTTCTAATGTTTTTATAGGACTGTGGAGTGAGCAGCAGCTTATTCCAGAACCCAGCAAAGCTTCATCTGACTATTGGGACCCTGGTACTTCTGAATGAACAGGAAATCCAGAAAGCTCAGGAACTTCTCCAGAAGTGTAGAGATGATCTTGTTCAGTGAGTAAAACAGCAGCTCTGTAATAGAGGAAGCAGTTGCCTACATTTGTCCAAAGAGGAAGCCTTTATAGAGAGAATAGAATCAAAAAAAAAATACAGAAATGCAAGAAATTGTAGCAAGAAGCTAGAACTGTTTAAAGATCAGGAACCCAATTGTGTTTTGTTTACGACATCAGTCAACAGTCAAAGAATTCCTTTTGATTGATTGATTAGGTGCAATCAATCTTAATGATAGTTTTTCTCCATGACAATCTGTCCCTATTCTACTTCTACAAGTTTTCCTACGGTAGAATCTTTCTTTTTTTCTTTTGCCTTGCCATTTTATTATTAATCCTTGGCTACTTTTTTTCTTGCAGTGATTTTGTGCATAAGCAAAGACTGAGTTTTATCCCACTGAAGTTCATGAAAAATGTGACTACCTTCACACTTTGTTCTAGCAGAGTGTTTGGCAAATAATTCTTTTCGCCCCAGAGGGTTGTATATCCCTGAGATTCATTTCTTGAAAAAGCTGTAGGCAAAGAACATTGGAAGCAGACAACCCGTATAAGAAATCACTCTTCAAACAATAGATCAGACGACTCTGAAGAGCAGAAGCTGTCATAAAACACTGCGCAAAAGGCATTTGTGGTTTGAGATGTACAATGAGAGATAAAAATATTCTTCCCCCACCCTTCAATGCAGTTGTGTTTGCACTGTTTTTGCAAGAACCTTTTTGGTGCAGTGATTTCTAGTTTAGAATTTAGGATACACCCCAGGTTTCCAAAATGAGCTCTTTTGTGATTACCCTATTTTTTTTAAATTAGCAAACAAAACTTCTGATGATACAAAATGCAATAGTAAGAATGTGGATATGGCTAAAGGCAAGTCAACTGAAATGCATAATGAGTGTAGTATACATAATCCTCAACTGATGACAATTGAGCCCCAAATTTCTGTTACTAAGACATTTGTTAAGTGAATTTTGCTCTATTGTACGACCTTTCTGGTCACATTTGTTAAGTGAACCACTGCAGTTGTTAAGTTAGTAAAATGGTTGTTGAGCGAATCTGGCTTCCCCATTGACTTCACTTGTCAGAAGTTTGCAAAAGGGGATCACATGACCCCCAGGGACACTGCAACCATCATAAACATGAGTCAATTGACAAGCGGCTGGATTTTGATCATGTGACCATGGAGATGCTGCAGTGGTCGTGCGAAAAATGGCCATGTCATTTTTTTTCCAGTGCCATTTTAATTTTGAACAGTCACTGAATGAACAAGTTGAATCAGTCAAGGACTACCTGCATAGTGATTTAGGGATTGGACTAGCATTCATGAAATCCACCCTCAGTCACAGAAGTTCACGGGATGACTGTGAGCATGTCACTTTCTCTCAACTCAACTCAATCTACAGTATTTCACCAGATTTTTGGGGAAAAGAAGGAAGGAAGGAACTGCTTGAAGTTCTGAGCCTGAACCTGTACTCACTGCCCCAGTGATGAACTAGATCAGGGGTCTTCAAACTTGACAGCTTTAAGACTTGTGGACTTCAACTCCCAGAATTCCTCCTCCAGTCATGTTAGCTCAAGAATTCCGGGAGTTGAAGTCCACAAGTCTTAAACTTGCCAAGCTTGAAGACCCTTGAACTAGATTCACTTATTCAGACAGTAAGCATATGAACCGTATCTGGCTGAATTTCAGAAAACAAGGGAGAACATCTTAGAAAATGAAAGTCTACTTGAGTGAACCCTGGATGGTTTTGCAGAAGGATCTGGGCTCAATAAACAACAACTAAGTGTGGATGAGATAGCTGTAGCTTCAAGGATAAAACAAATCTGAGATTATCTTCTTGTTAGAAGAAATGTCTCTTCTTCATAACCGCAAATAAGTAGTTACTTACATGCCACGAGTCTTGATTATTTGAGGAAGTTTTCCCTGCCTGATCCCCGAGTTTTGTTCTTTCGCTTTTGCCATTTGAAAAATTGTTCAGATGGAGCTTACCTTTTGACTTTCGACTTCTAGATCAATTTATTAGCTACTTAATCTAGGATCACCATTTCTGGATTGCAGAAATCCACGTTACAACTAGGTGGCAGCAAAGAGTTAGTGGGTTGTTTGCATCATTGCTGCCATCCAATGAGTAGATTTCCACAGTCTAGTAGGTGTTCTTATCCCTGACAGAACACTCTGTGTGTTTTTCTGGTCACCAGTAATCATGTACTACTGTGTATCTAAAACAGGATATTTGTTAGAGTTTGCAGCAAAATTCAAATCCAGAAAACACACAGATGACTGACTCAGCAGAATTCATTAACTTCCTTTTATATAAAATAAGTAAATGTACAATACCAGTAGTTTCTTCCAAGGTGGAAAGGTTACAAGCAAACACAAACAGAAGCAGACATGCTACAGCTCCAGTTCAGAGCTGAGCTCTAGTTTCAGTTTCAATTCGTAGCAAAGCACACAGAGCCAAACCACACCCAGGCCGTCAGGTCCCATTGACTGGTCTGTTGCCATGCTTACTCACTTGCTGACTTTGTTAACCATGTTTCTGCCAGTTAATGAATATACTCTGACAATATTGGCTTAGTCTGATTATGTCAATTTTTCCAGTGGTTGCTTATTCAGTAAACCATGATTAAAACAAGGAGTAGCTTGATGCAGTATGTCATCTCAACTCATCCGGTGAAGTTACTAGTGAGAACAATTAATAACACGAAGCCTCTCAAGTCTGTAGCATTCTATCCTAAATGTCAGGGGTACTGAACTATGGCCCCTTTATCATCTGTGGACTTCAACTCACAGAATTCCTGAGCCAGCATGGTCATAAAGGGGCCATAGTTGCTCCCCCCTCCCCCGTACCCGCCCTCCTGATGTAGTACCAATGGCTCCATTCACTGAAGCCATCAAATGGGCCCTATAACAATTAAGCATAATTTTATATTTAGGAGTTTATTATGCTGGTTTCTACCCTTATTGGTAATTCTGAGTTATTAGTCTACTCCTTGATGCATCTGTGTTTGATATATTGTATTTGCATTCTTTCCGTCTCTAATTAAACAAGAGGCACTCTAAATAATTATACACATATGATTAAACAGAAGCCTCTCACAGCTTCCTAGTTTCAAGTAATGTCAGAGATAAGATCCATAGTGACAGCGTTGGTAGCAATAACAAATTTGGTCCGAATATTAAGGCCAGCCAAGATATTAAGACTTATGAGCCATTTTGGTATCACAGGAGCTTTGTTTATTTGTTACTAGCTCAATTGAAATCAGGAGATGATACCTTAATTTAACATGCATTCATTAGATTTTTGTGGGTAAATATCTCAACCCTAGCATGCAAATAAGGAGAATAAAAAATTACAAATAAATGGCAGTGAATTAAAATAGTAAGGGTGTGTGTGTTTAACGAATGAATGAATACTTTATTGGCCAAGTGTAATTAGACACACAAGGAATTTGTCTTGGTGCATATGCTCTCAGTGTACATAAAAAGAAAAGATACATTCGTCAAGAATCATAAGGTACAACACTTAATAATAGTCATAGGGTACAAATAAGCAATCAAATCATACTAGGAAACAGTCAATAAAAATCATAAGGATACAAGCAACAGCTACAGTCACAAGTGGAAGGGGATGGGTGATAGGAGTGATGAGAAGATTAATAGTGATAGTAATACAAACTTAGTAAATAGTTGGACAGTGTTGTGGGAATTATTTGTTTAGCAGAGTGATGGCGTTTGGGGAAAAACTGTTCTTGTGTCTAGTTGTTCTGGTGTGCAGTGCTCTATGGTGTCATTTTGAGGGTAGGGTAGGAGTTGAAACAGTTTATGTCCGAGATGTGAGGGGTCTGTAGATATTTTCACAGTCCTGTTTTTGACTCGTGCAGTATACAGGTTGAAAGCAGGTTGGTAGTAATTATTTTTTCTGTAGTCCTAATTATCCTCTGAAGTCTGTGTCTGTCCTGTTGGGTTGCAGAACCAAACAACACAGGTGTAGAGGTGCAGATGACAGACTAAAAAAATAGAATGAAAAAAAGAACATTCTGATAAGGCTTAGGTGAAGAAACGCATCTTGATCTTTCAGCATTAGATGCTAAAAATATTTAACAGTAAGTGCATCCTTACGGAAGAAGAGGATAGATGGAGAAGGTTTTTTGTGAGTAACCACGAGATGATAATAAGCAAAGAGAACTGCAAGCAACTAGACCTGTTTGATGGCCTTAGCAAATGTATGGGCCAGTAGAGGTGATGACTCATTGAAGAATTTACTGACCTTGCTCCTATAAATTCCCATGGATTATTCAAGAGCCTATTAGATTTCATAATCCCCAGAGACAGGCTAATCTTAATGGAGAGGATAGATGCTGAGGTCAAATTTCACCAGATGAGACTTTGACACTGGAATAACTTTAATGCTTACCCATCTACCCCCAGTTTATTGATTGATTGATTGATTGATTTGATTTGTCAATTGCTTACAAGATAATAGGTATAAGTATATACATAGTTGTGAGTACATGGATACATATAAGAAAATAAAAGAAACAATAGGACAGGGATGTTGGTGCGCTTATGTACAGACCTCTTAGGAAAGGGGTGAGGTCAATAGTTGACAATCTAAGGTTAAAGTTTTTGGGGTTTGGGGAAGAAACCACAGAGTCAGGTAGAGTATTCCAGACATTGACCACTCGGTTGCTGAAGTCGCATTTCCTGCAATCAAGTTTGGTGCGGTTTACCTTGAGTTTGTATCTATCGTGTGCTCTTATATTGATGTGGTTGAAGCTGAAGTATTCATTGACAGGTAGGACATCGCAATGTATGATTTTATATACTACACTTAGATCGGACCGAAGGCGGCGTAGTTCTCAGTTATCCATTTGTGTTCTTCATCTCCTCAAAGATTAAATTCAGTATGATTAATTTGTCATCCTTTGATAATAAGGATCCTTTGAGATGGTCTCAGCGTTATTGTGGTGGCCATGACATGCTGAGATGTGCCTTGTAGCTTCGTTTTAATATGAATTGATGATTACTTATATTGAAGTTCTCCAGGACCATTTTAGAAGCCAGCTTGCTCAGAAAGGCTCTTCACTCAACACCATGTAAACATCCTCAGTTTGGCTCTCTGGTAGGGGTTTTAGTAAGTAGGATGGCATTGTGGTAGATAGTAACAAATCTCTACTCTGAAAAACAGTTCTAGCCATATATTCTCTATTCTTATAATATTCAGTTCTCCCAAACAGTTACCATCTTTATCACTAGTATAATAACATCTTTACCCTTTTCTCGATTCGGGTGTATCACATGCTTTTCACACTCATAACACCAAAACAGTAGAAGAGAGGAAATAAATAAAACACAAATATTACACCCCAAAGCTTGTCAGCTGCAATCCCTTTGATTACACCAAATCTCTTAAATTAGGTGTTTTCAAAAATCGGGGATCCAGCTTTCCTCTAGTCCAGGGGTGCAAGTGATGGGCTGGTGTGTGCACATGTAGCTCCACTCATAGGAGTGGCGGACCAGTGTGAGCACACACATGTACGCCTTGCCCACAGCTTGTGTGGACTGGTTCTCCTCTCTCTAGCCAAGCAGAGCCACCAATCCGCAAAGTTTGGGGACGGCTGCTCTGGTCCCTGCCCCTTTGACTGCCCCGCCCCCTGCCAAGACAGGATACCTCTCCTGTTATTTGAACTCAAGCGAGGAAGTGATATAGTTATAATGCAAAGTAACAACAGCAAAAATGACAATTATCTCTGCTGTATTGAAAAATCATTATTGCCATTATTGCTAATGGAAAATAAATGGTAAGGGTCTAGCTGTGTGAATTTTGCTATCTGTAGAACTGCTTCGGATAAAAAACCCAGCTTCTAATATTAGAACATGTTGGCCTTTCAATTTTACATGAAAGATAGTATAATTCCTTGTATTATTTAGCATTTCTTAATATTAATGCTGTGCAGTGTCTGAAAGCGATGCAGTAGCTTTTCTGGGAGGTTTATATCCTATATAATAACAGCAGAATTCCATTTTTCTTCTTATGGCACGTAAATGCTAAACGGACAACTCTTAAAGCTACAGATATAGTCCAGGTTGTAAAAGAGAGCAGTGGCATTTGAGTGGCATGCCAAAGGTCATCGTGCCAAAGAAATAAATTAAATTAAATGTGATGCTCTTCATGAATATGACTGCAGCAGCCCTTGAATACACATTAAAGGATCATACCGTAGTAATTCTTAGAACTGTTATTACTATTGGTTATCACTAGTATTACACATAAATTAGAGCTGTTTGAATAGCTGCTGGCATGGAAGGACAAAAAAGTGACCTCAAAAGAAATATCCATTACTATAGGCAATAACTCAGAAATTGCAAAGACAAGTTTAGGAACCAAGAATGGGAAATATTCATTCTATATGTTATCTCTAAAATATCAATCGACCAAATGCAGTTCCTGCATAACAGACTTCATCCAGTATGTACAGGGCCCAGCAAAGATTATACTACCTGAGACTTCTCAGAAAACAACAACTGAATGAACAACTGCTGGTGACCTTCTACCACTGCACCACAGAGAGTATCTTAACTTACTGCATCTCTGTATGGTTTGCCAATTGCACCGTGGCAGATAGGACAGCACTCCAGAGGGTTAATGTCATTGCCCAGAAGATCATTGGTTGCCCTCTCCCCTCTTTGAAAGAGCTTTATAGCTCCCGCTGCCTTCCGAAAATTCAAAACATTCTCAAAAATCCATCTCATCCTCGGCACCCTTTTTTTTTTGAACTAGTACCATCTAGCAAATGGTACAGGATAATACAAACAAGCACAGATAGGCTGAAAAGCAGCTTATATCCCAGGGCAGTAGCTCTTTTGAATTCTACTGTATAGTGCAGTGTTGGGGTTTTTCGGTCCATTGTGTGGCGTGTGAAGGATGTGTGTTTGTGTTTATTTTCATGGTCATGATGTGCACTGAAGATGATGTTTGATTTCGTTGTACGAGGTGCAATGACAATAAAGTAAACTAAACTACAGCTAGGGAACTAACAGTACTCAAACATATTAAATTGAACACCAGCAGCAGGTTACATACCCTTAGGCCTGTGGTACCTCTTATGTATAATGCCGTTGAAGTAGCAAAATATGTAGTTTCCTGTTCACCCTCCCTTTTTTTGTGTTTTTAAATAGCACAATTACTGAAGGCAAACCTCTAACTGTGGAAATAAGAGGTATAGAGTACATGAACGATGACCCAGCCATGGTTGATGTTCTGTATGCAAAAGTCCACATGAAAGATGGCTCCAACAGGTAAACTTTTCCCTTGTTTTCTCTATAGTCATTTTTAGTCCCTAGAAGTATTTTATCTGAAACGATAAAAATGATGTGACGATACTCCAAAATCCTCCCAACCTCTGAGTTTGATCATGTCTGTCAGGAAACATTCCACCAGGAGTCCAAAAGATGAAACTTCTGTTGTTCTGTATCTAAAAGGAGGCCGATACTAACTTTTTACCCTTAGGTTCATAATGGGTCATACATATTACTGAAAGAAGTAAAGACATCTTCCAGTTCTGCAATTAATCAGAACCAGAGGCGGTATTCAGCAAGTTCTGACCAGTTCTGGAGAACCGGTAGCAGAAATTTTGAGTAGTTCAAAGAACCGGCAAATCCCACCTCTGACTAGCCCCGCCTCCATCTATTTTCTGCCTCCTGAGTCCCATCTGATTGGCTGGGTCTTCTTTGATTGCCCTGCAAATGGAAAACGGAGCTGGAAAGCAGGTTGGTGGGGTGGGGAGGAAATGAAGATTTTGCAGTAACCTTCCCCCAGGAGTGGGGTGGAAATAGAGATTTTACAATACCCTTCCCCTGCCACGCCCACCAAGCAGAGGTGGTATTCAGCAGGTTCTGACCAGTTCCGGAGAACTAGTAGCAGAAATTTTGAGAAGTTCGGATAACCGGCAAATACTACTTCTGATTGGAGATTTTATAGTATCCTTCCCCTGCCACGCCTACCAAGCCACACCCATAGAACCGGTAGTAAAAAAATTTGAATCCCACCACTGATCAGAACAATAAATCAGTGGAACCGCTTGCCTCCAGAAGTTGTGGAAGTTTTTAAGAAGAGATTGGATAACCATTTGTCTGAAATGGTATCGGGTTTCCTACCTGAGTATGGGATTGGACTAGATAGAAGACTTCCAAGATCCCTTCCAAATCACTTAATTCTGTTCTGTGCTAATTGCTGTTGTTCTGGATGGTTTAGAAACTAGGAATGTAGCACCCTAAAAATGTTAAAAGGTTTCCATCCTCATAAGATTTAATTTCTAGGCCTAACTGGGGGAAAAAAATTACCTCTACTTGGTCATGTTTTACCTAGACAATAGCCCAGTTATTGAGTAAGCAAAAATGTTCTGGTCTGGTGCTTCTTCCTTTCTCTCATATGGCTTGTTCTGCTAAACAAATGATGGAGGGAAGTTGCTATAGCATGAAAAAAGGGACTTCTAATTTCTCTCTCCAAAGGAGACAGAAATGAGAATGGAAACTAATGATAAACAGAGACTTACATATCTCGATAAACAGAGCAAGAAGCTTCTATGATTGGTTTGGCCCAGAGGTCTCCAAACTTGGCAACTTTAAAACTTGTGGATTTCAGTCCCAGAATTCCTGAGCTGGGAGATGAAGTCTACAAGTCTTAAAATTGCCAACTTTGAGAACCCCTGGTTTAATCATTCTCTCTGAAAGAAGGAACCAAGTAGATGTGACCAACATATCATGGCATTTATATCTAATCAAAATGCTGAATAATTCTGTTTAGCTATGAAGTGTAAATGCAACCATTGTCTGTATTAAATACTTTTTAATTACTCAGCTACCAATTTCATAATATTCTTTCTTTTGCTAAATTATGTTGTATGTTTTTTTTTATTTCTTTACAAATGCAAAGTCTTAAGTATTATCTGGAAAGTCCTAAGTATTATTTTCCAAATATACACTAAATGTTTTTCTTCCTTCTCCTTTTATTTTCAAATGTATCTATAATTTCGCCCAAGGAAAAAAAAATCAGAATAAGCAATGTAATCAGATTTTAGTACATCATTTTAAATTAAACTTTTGTTAAGATGAGAATTACCATATTTTACTTTGCTTCAGTTCTCTACCTTTGGGCTACTTGTGTGATGTTCATAAAATTCTAATCAGGGTTAGAATTTACATTTTTTAAAAATTGACATCTTTTGCATTAGAACTCTTTCAATAGGGAGTAAATAAACCCTGGATTCTCAGAGTATATGCATTAGTTTACTAAAGATTGAGGCATACTCAGTAGATTGTCTCTCATGGTTTATCTCTGAAACCATGGGAGTAAATGCTATGCATTTTTGCAAAAATCACCTCTTTTTTTCTACCTTGTAATTAAAATATGTTCAGCTAACTCACCCATTCTATTTTTGTCAGTGTGAGAACTAGATGTACTTTTGATTTTTTTTGTTTCTCCTAAATACCCAATTCCCCAAAACAGAAGAGAGTCCCATTTTCTGCCATTGCCGATATTATTGGAAAATTTCTCTGATCCTTATTAAAGAAGGGGAGAAAGATGATGAGGAAAGTTACGCTGCAATGATTCCGATCCAGCAGGCCACTCATTATAATTTAATTTGCTTTATTTCCTCAATTTTATAGTGTAATAAAGTATGGCTTCATTTGAGATATTTTATTAATTGCTGAGTATCATCCCACTTTTCATTAGGCAGGTCTAATTTCAATGATGTATCTGCAGAAAACAGGAGACTGAAATTGAACAGCTAGAAATTCGCCATCAACAGACACACAGGGTCAACTCAATGCCATTGGGCATTAGCTCATCAAGAATTATCAAGCAAATGGTGACTGGAGGGGAAGAACGTATCTGAGGGGGACCGAAAGGGTCAAGATAGAAATCTATAACTGGGAAAGTGTGAACTATCCAGCAAATTACCCTCCTAATGGATTCCGCATAGATAATATATAAGACAGTGTGTGTGTGTGTGTGTGTGTGTGTGTGTGTGTGTGTGAGAGAGAGAGAGAGAGAGAGAGAGAGAGAGAGAGAGAGAGAGATGGTCTTTTGTTTTATTGGATAGCATTATTTTTAATTAATGTTCCCTTACCATGCTTGCACTTGAATAATGAATATTTTGTAAGAGAATTGTAAGGATTTCATCTTCTGTTCCTCTTCCGGTTTACACATTTAGTTTGCAGTTGCCTTTAGTATAGATCAGGGGTGTCAAACTCAAGGCCCATGGGCTAAATCCAGTAGTATCAGAGCCAAGGTGAAATTGTGAGACGAGTTTATGAACGTTCTTCAAGTTGTGATTGGAATAGACTAGTGGTGTTGCAGCATTTTCAACCCATGGAAGTGATTCACAGATAAACCGTGAAACTAAGCAGAATCAAAGAATTCAGTTATATTAATTATATAATATGCATCTCATTGTTAGGCCCATTAAATAGATCGGAAAATTAGCTCCACAGCAAGACCCAATATTTTATTTTGTTGGGATAGTTTATAATAACAGAATCAAAACCCAGAAAACCTACTTTTTATAGTTCAGGGAATTAGAGACACATCTGCTCAATCTGTCCCAAAGGTGCTTTTTCCAAAAGCTACTGCACTGCTTTTTCTTTGAGGAAGAAGAAGAAAACATTTCGCTCCTCATCCAAGAAGCTTCATTGGTTGTGGATGGTGAGGTGATGGAAGGATAGGTACAATACTTATCCTATAGGTACAGTACCTATCAACATTAATCCTTCCACCTCCTCACCATCACAGATGATGAAGCTTGAAGAAGCAAAATATTTTCCTGAAGAAGCAAAATATTTTCTTCTTCTTCTTCAAGGAAAAAAAACAATCCAGTTGCCTCTGGAAAAAGCAACTTTAAGACTACTATAACCTGGATGGCTTAAAATATCCACAGACATCTGCTTGATTTGTGTTCTGACCGAGGCTTCTCGAGATCGTAATTAAGCACACGCTTAGTTAAAACAAATCTTGTTTTATTTCAATGCTGAGAATTATGTTCATTCCCAGCCTGTAATGAATCCCAAACAGTTCCTCAAGATAAGCACCCACCTTTCTCTCCTTTGAATTGCTGCCAACAACTGGAGTGCCAAATGAACAATAAAAAAACCAACCGAAGTACAAAGTCCACACAGAGCTCCAAGGATTAATCTGAACAGAATGAACGACTTTGCTTCCTACCAAGGTTTCTTTACCTTTGCCTGTCCTTCATACCTTAGGGGAGGAGCAATCACCTCCCAGCCTTACTCCTGAGTCACCCATTTTGTCTAAGCTGCTGTTGCCTTCTAGCAGCTCTGTGCACATGCGTACTCGGAACAGGCTCCCCTTGTTCCTCTGCCTCGCTGCTGCCAGACTCCAGAGGCTCCGGAGTCAGCACATCACTCTCAGATGGTCCCAGCCCCATCTCTGCATTGGATGCAGGCCCTTGTCCGAGTCTTCTCCAGACTGCCTGACTGGTCCCCGTTCTTCTCCACTGTCCAATTCTGCTGCCGTCTGCACAGGCTTCTGGAGCACCACAACAATCTGTTCCCCCAAAATTAATAATGTTTCAGACTCTGCCTAGGTAGCATTCCTTGCACATTTCTGTCGAAGTCATCTCTTGTTACTCTACTACACCTATCCAAACATTGCTCCCTAGCGTTGGTTGGGACTTACTTTTGCCAAGACTCAGAAAATAAGCTTGTTCAACGGAAACTCTCTATGTTAATGGGTGCTTCATTGTGGAGCCAAACAGTTCAAAAAATAATAATGCATAGCTTGTGGCCCTCTCAGTTTTGTTTATCATTTATGGAGGTAATAATGAGGAGTCTTTGTGCTCCAGGTTGTGTCAAAGGCCAAGTCAGCCGACAGGTGTTATAAAGTTGACAGCCGAGGTCTGTCATCATGAGAGAGATTGTGCTAAAGCCAGGATATATTAAGCGTGGAGCTTCTATTCATTCTACCATATATATTCAGAGGAACAAATGCCTGTTGTCTTCCTCTAATGGAAACGTGTCTCAGGAAAACACAGTGATCGAAGCACATTAGGGCCAGGAAGGATCATTTAAAACTTTACTGGCACATCTTTTTCTCCAAGGATTTGCCAATAAATCATACACGTGATAGATTGCCAGTGATCAGGCTTGAACCTTCTGACAACTTTTAATCAGTCCAGCTGGGAAGTCTTTCTTTGTTTCTCTCTGCCCAGTTGTAGTAGGAAAAACTGTGTGATATTTCCACTGTTGGATTCAGGAGACCTGGGGGAAGTTTGTCTGAAGACAAGTGAAGTCTTAAGAAGGTAGCCAGAGCAGAGTTTTGAGGACAGGAGAACTTCTGGCATATTAGCCAACAAACCAACCAAACCTTTTTGAACACACCTCAATTTTCTTGAGAAGCAGATACCCTCCCACCCAACAAGAATTTGTATAAATAAACAGACAAACAAACAAATTCCACACTTAACAGAATAACAGAATTGGAAAGGGACCTTGGAGGTCTAGTCTAACTTCCTGCTCATCCAGGAAACCCTATACAAGTGGTGGCTAACCTTTTTGGGCTCCCATGCTGAAAATTGCGCATGCCAGCACCCAGAAGGCAATGTGCGTTAGCCCCCCCCCAAAGCCCCCTGCGCATGCACGTGGGACCCACATGTACCGCGCGGCTCTGCGCATGTGCACGAGACAACCCCCCCCTGCATGCTGCATTTCTCTGTGCATGCACACGTGTCTCCTGCACCCCCCACCCTCCCACACCTGCGCGCCAGATACCTGACAATCAGCTATTGGGCAGCGGCGCCCGCCCACCCGCACAATGAGACTCTTCCGGGCGACCTCTCGCGTACCGGCAGAAGTGGCTCTGCGTGCTATTTCCAGCACACATGCGATAGGTTCGCCATCATGGCCCTATACCATTTCAGACAAGTGGCTGTCCAATCTCTTCTTAAAAATGTCCACTGTTGGAGCCCCCACAACTTCTAGAGTCAACTTGTTCCGTTGATTAATTGTTCTAACTGTCAGGAAATTTCTTCTTAGTTCTAAGCTGCTTCTCTCCTTGATTAGTTTCCATCCATTGTTTCTTGTCCTGCCTTCAGGTGCTTTAGAAAATATAGTAAACTGTGGTGAAGACTGGGTTAAAAAGAAATCATTCTGGTTATATTGGGTAGAAAATTCCGCAGAGCATTAAGAAGAGTAGTGGTAAATGTTTTATTTTAAATAGGGATTAGTAGAGTTCTGCCTAGGGTGCAACCACTTTATCCTGCTTGAATTATTTATAATAATAATTTAGCAAGCGTCTACAGAACATGCCAATTTTTCCTTATCCATTTATTTCAATCTTGTTTTGCGCTGATAGAATCCTTTCCAATCTGGAAGTCTGACATAACATTTTTAAACTTCTTTTTATTAAGTAAACCACTATCCAAAACAATGACAAAACTTTTAAGAGCAGCTACTGCTGGGTTTAGAAGACAAAAAGGATTGTTGTTTCTAAACAGACTAGAAATTAGGGTTAATTTACTCTATCCTACTTGACAATAGTGGGATCTTCATATTTTTAATATAACTGGGCTACCTTTTTCTCCCTGAAAAGATGCTTTCCAATTCAAAAAGAAATAGAAAAAGAATGGGAAAGATTGCCATAGAAAGTGCCATGAAATGTATTTCCATGAGGGTTTTTGAAACAAGCTGTTATCTTCCCACCGAAGTGGTACCTATTTGTCTGTTCGCATTTGCATGCTTTTGAAATATTAGGTTGGCAGGAGGTGCAGCGAGGACAGGAGCTCAGCCGATGGTGCAGTACTCAGATCTCGAACCTGGACTGCCAGCTTTCCAGTCGACAAGCGCAGTGTCTTAACCGCTTTGCCAGTCCATGACGTCATGGCCACATGACCACAGGAATGTCTTTGGTCAGTGCTGGCGCAATGGCCTTGAAACAGAGACGAACACCGCCCCCTAGAGTCGACAATGAGTAGCGGAGTAAAACCTGCAGGGACTCCTTTTGAAGCAAGACTACATCATAAATGTCATGCCCCTGGTGGAGACTGACTCTGAGGGAGAGGAGGAAAAGCCAACAGGGAGTAGAAGTGTGGCTCCGGAGGTTGTGGAGGAGGCTGGGGAGGGGCAGAAGCCGGCTGAGCAGTCAGATGAGGACCCAGGCCCATCCCCTCTCCATCCTAGGGCACGCAGGGAGGAGAGGATAAGGGAGAGACATGGTCTACTAGAAAGGAGAGGGCCTTGATTCTTTTCATGAGCTGCAGCTGTGACAACTGAATAAGAGGATGGACTTGCCTATGGGCGAACGCTGGAAACAAAGCGTGGAAATATCTCTAGTTTATGGTTCCTCTCTGAGTTTGGCGTCCTTCCCAGTGTGTGTTCTCTGTGGACATCCTCCAGCCCTTATCTTGCCTGGTTTGTCTTGCTTTTTTCCTTTTTGTTGTAACTGTTTGTGTGGGAGTGTTTTGTCTTCCGTCAAGAATATTTGGAGCTTGGAAGCAAAGTGAAGGAATAAAAAGGGCTTCACCTGTTTTCTGTGACTGTGTTTTGTATCCCACCCTGGGTCATCACAACAAAGCTGAATCAAGGGTGGGACTAGTGCATCTAAATAAGTGTATTTGTTCTGCATCATTTTGGTAACACCAGCACTATAAGATCAAAGGAGGAGAAGCTACCAGGTTCTCAAGGATAAGTAAAGATTCAGCAGCACCCAACTCTGTATGTCTTCAACCTTGTCTTGCTAGGGATGAGTAATCTGAAACATCCCTGTAGATAAAAAAAAGAAGAAGAACTCATTATTCAGAGGCCTTTTTCTTATGTCACGCAGGCGTTTTTATCAAGAACTTGCTTTCCATATAGTAAAATTGTATGTCAAGCCATTTTTATTGGCCTATCGAAGCGGTTTCCCCCCTTTGCTTCCTCTTTCTTCGCAGAATGCAATTTTGTTCCGTTTCAATGAAGGATGTGCTGTCTAGGTTTGCTCATATTCTAGCCCAGCGGTCGAAATGATGTTTCTGGTACTTTGGATTTATTCCAGTTTTTCTCCAGTGTTAAATCTTGAAGAAGTAACAGGACACCCAACGAGGTACAGATAGTCCTTGAGTTACGACCACAATTGGGCCCAAAATTTCTGTTGCTGGGCAGGACTTGTGTTAAGGGAGTTTTGCCCTGTTTTTGCATCTTTTTTTGCCAACTCACTTGTTAAGTGAGTCACTGCAGTTGTTCAGTTAGTGTTCTGACCAAAGCTTCCCAAGACCGTAATTAAGCACACGCTTAGTTAAAACAACTCTTGTTTTATTTCAATGCTGGGAATTATGTTCATTCCCAGCCAGTAATGAGTCCCAAACAGTCCCTTCGAGATAAGCATCCACCTTTCTTTCCTTTGAATTGCTGCCAACAACTAGAGTGCCAAATGAATTATAAAAAAACCAACCAAAGTACAAAGTCCATACAGAGCTTCAAGGATTAATCTGAACAGAACGAACGACTTTGCTTCCTGCAAAGGTTTCATCACCTTTGCCTGTCCTTTATCCGTTATGGGAGGGGCAATCACCTCCCAGCCTCACTCCCAAGTCGTTCCTTTTGTTTCCGCTGTTTGTGCCTTCTAGCAGCTCTGTGCATACATGCACTCGGAACAGGCTCCCCTTGTTCCTCTGCCTCACTGTTGCCAGACTCCAGAGGCTCCGGAGTCAGCACTCCACTCCCAGATGGTCTTGGGCCCATCTCCCCATCAGATGCACGAACCTCGTCTTGCGTCCTCTCCAGACTCCCTGACTGGTCCCCATTGTTCCCCGCTGTCCGATTCTGCTGCCGTCTGCACAGGCTGCCAGTGAACCACGACAGTTAGCACAGTAGTCTCCAAACTTGGCAACTTCAACTCTCACAAGTCTTAAAGTTGCCAAGTTTGGGGGCCCCTGAGTTAGTAACATGGTTGTTAAAGTGAAACTGGCTTTGCTTGTCAGAAGGTTGAAAAAGGGGATCATGTGACCTTGGGACACAGCAACGGTCATAAATATGAGTCCATTGCCAAGCGTCTGAATTTTGATCATACAACCAAGGGGATGCTGCAGTGGTCATAAGTGTGAAAAATGGTGATAAGTCACTTTTTTCCCCAGTGCTATTGTAACTTTAAACAGTCACTAAGTGAACTTTTACAAGTCAAAGACTACCTGTACTGTAGTTGTGTTTTGAGAACCCCCGTTTGATAACAATTGTTTTAATTCTTCTCCAGAGTATAAACCTTAAAAGTATCTGCTCCATGAATACAGGTAGTCTTCAACTTACCACAGTTCGTGTAGTGACCATTCGCAGTTCAAAAGGCACTGAAAAATGTGACTTAGGACCGTTTTTCACAATTACGACCTTTGAGGCATCCCGTAGCCTTGTGATCAAAATTCAGTTGCTTAGCAACTGATTCCTATTTTTGCTATGTCCCAAGGTCATCTAATTTCCCTTTTGCGACCTTCTGATAAACAAAGCCACTGAGGAAGCCAGATTTCCTTAACAACCAATTTACTCACTTATCAAGGGCAGTGATTCATTTAACAACGGTGTCAAGAAAGGTCGTAAAAGGGGGCAAAACTCACTTCACAGATATCTCCCTCGACAACAGAATTTTTTTGGCTCTATTGTGGTCATAACCTGAGGATTCACCTGTGCGAGTATTAAAAAAAAAAAAAGGCCTCACCTTACCATTTTTTCCCCTACTTCCTTTTCTCTTCTCCAGACTTCAGCTCCTAGCAGATAGACTGGTGGACCAGTTTGCAACCTCTGGGCTGATGAGAAGAGAATGGGATAAAGTGAAGCTCCATGCCACTATTATGAACACGGTCTTTCGGAATGATCCTAGCGGTGAGCCTCCATTAAGATCTCTTGAGAAATGTTAACCGCGGTTTTGATCCCCAAGTTTGCTACGACAGTCCTTAGGTTTATTTATATTTATATATATATATATATATATATATATGTGTGTGTGTGTGTGTGTGTGTGTGTGTGTGTGTGTGTACGTACGTACATACATACATACAATGTTCCTTAGGTTTGCTATTGCTAATATATATGTGTATCTATGTATGGGTGTGTGTATGTATATGTATGTATGCATATGTATATCTATATACATACATACGTACGTACGTACATACATACATACATACATACATACATTATACACACATCAGTGGTGGGATTCAAAAAAATTTACTACTGGTTCTGTGGTTGTGGCTTGGTGGGCATGACACGGGAAGGTTACTGCAAAATCCCCACTCCCTCCCCACCCCACTAACCTGCTTTCCAGCTCCGTTCTCCTGTTCAGGGCAACCAAAGAAGACCCAGCCGACCAGCTGGGACTCAATGGGAGATGGAGAATAGATGGAGGCGGAGCCAGTCAGAGGTGGTATTTGCCAGTTCTCCAAACTACGCAACATTTCTGCTACCGGTTCTTCAGAACTGGTTTACAGAGTCAGCCTATTCCCCCCAACAATCTGAGTCCTCATTTTACTGACCTCGAAGGATAGAAGGCTGAGTTAACCTTGAGCCTGGTGGGATTTGAACTGCCAAATTACAGGCAGCCGGCAGTCAGCAGAAGTAGCCTGCAGTACTGCACTCTAACCACTGTGCCACTGTGTGTGTCACTTATATATATTTGAGACCTTGCCATGCAAATACATAGACATAGACATAGACATAGACATATATATATATAATTTGAGAGGTTGGAGACAATAAGTTCATTGCCTGCTTAAGAAGGGATCCATTCATTAAGGCTGCACTCATCTGAAATAGAAAAGGAAGAATCCTTCATTAAAATATTCAATGCACCTTTTATATCCAGCAGATGTTTGGTTCCTACCGTACTCATGTCTGAGAGAAGCCATGATTTTGTATTGCTTTTTAATCAAGGTTGTCTCCTCTCTTTTTAAAAGGTAGATTTAATCTGTATCACTTGGGTTTAGGATTACTGTTTGAGTGCACCGAGTCTGCTTTTCCATTTAAACGTGCTTGGTATAATCGAGCTGCAGTTTCTTTTTAATTTTTAAAGCTGTAATTTTAAAAGCTTCTTTAGTAATCAGAATATGAATAGCTGCTTGTTTGTATTCTAAAAATAGCTACCATTAATTCCTATGGAGAATGCACGTGGCTATAAAAGGACATCTCCTGAAGTTGTACAAAAGAACCATCAAGCCATGGTATACAAATGATATATATTTATCATACCTAACTTGTAAATATAGCTACCTTGAATTTAAGATAAGTTTGTGTGTCTGTGAATATGCAGTACGGTACACAATTACAAAAATAAAGATAAAGATAATAGAGACCCAGAAGATAAACAGACCTATGAAACAGCTGTCCTGTCCTACATAAGAGGTACTACAGACAAAATCAGTAAGATACTGCACAAACATCACATCAAGACTGCCTTCAAAACAGACAGAAAAATAGCAGCCATCCTTAGAAACCCCAAAGATAAAACTGACCTGGAAAACCAAGGCATATACGAAGTCCCCTGTGCATCATGCCTGGCCACATACATTGGACAGACCAATAGAAGAATAAGTACCCGCCTGGATGAACACAAAAATGCAGTCAAAAAGCTGGAACACACTTCCTCACTAGTCCAACACATGGAAGCCACAGGTCATAGCATCAACTTCAATGGCACCAAAACCCTAGCCACTATAGAAAACCCCAGCCACAGAATCATCAGAGAAGCCATAGAGATTGAAAAAAGACCAGAAAGCATGAATAGAACAGATGATTCCACCAGATTGTCAATCATTTGGAAGCCTGCACTCACAAACAAAAAAATCTCCACACCACAAGACAGGCAAACACCTGGGCACAGACAGATCCCCCCTGATACCTCCAGCTCAAACACACCCCAACCAGCTACCCAGGTGAAAACTAGCTTCCTAATAAATGATAGCCATCTGTTTACTCGGAGCCAAGCCGCACTAAAAGCCTCCAATACAGGAACACAATGTTGCCAGCCAATCAAGATACAAAAAGAGCCAAAAAAACAGACAGAAGATATTAGAAACACCAATCAAGCAGAACACAGCAAACTCCAAGACCAATAAACACAGACCAAGACTCCCAACCAATCAGGGTGAAGAAAAAACCATTCTGGCACAGCATAGGCTGCCCCAAATTTAAATCTGAAACCACTATAAAAGCCTGACTCACAGATGAACACTATACAGAAGCCTGATGATGGCAGATGAGATTCTGCCGAAACGTTGCTACAACTTTAAAAGCACAACTACAATGACGTGGGAAAATACCCGAACAAAGCTGAATGCCATACATGTAAGTACCCACGAAAACTTAAGAAAAGATAGATAGATAGATAGATAGATAGATAGATAGATAGATAGATAGATAGATAGATAGATAGATAGATGCATGCCTGTGGATAATGTGGAGTACACAAACAGATAATAGGAGCCATCTGTTGAAATGGACCTTGCAAATAAAACGGAAAAAGTTCTTACGTCATCACACTTTTTCCTATCTTGCCTAGACAATTTGCATACGATTGGCTTTCATGCAAATATCTTAAGGATTGTTGATCCCATTTTATTATTCACATTTGTGTTCAGATTTTCAAAGAGTGACAAAAGTAGACCGGGTTGCAGGTTTGTTGATCTATTTACAATGTTCCTTTTTAGCCTTTACATACACTGTGTTTGTGTGTATGTGTGTGTATTAAAATTTTAAAACTGGATGCATTTATTTTATATCTGTACATTCGATTTGTCAGGACTCCAACATGCACCCCCATTCAAATCATAAGTCTCTAGCCACATCTCTTAGAGTAAAAAAGATTGATTTATTAGGAGTTGACATATCGGCGTTTCCCAGTTGCAGCCGACTCTGACACATCATTCATTTCACCCTTGACCCTGGTCTTTCCCTTACCCCCTGGATTTATATTCTCCAATGAGACACATCCATAGCCAAGAGTCATCAATCATGCTCTCCAGTAATAATTTTGCACGCCAGAATCTTCAGTAGCCAAAATGATTATCTGAGGCATTTAAGGAATGCACTGCTTTCTCCCACCCCTTTCTGCTGGCAACTAAAAAGATCAAAGAAGTATTTTTTTTTTTAGTTGACACAATTTCTATGCCCTTCCCAACTCATCACTGGCTTTGGGTAATGTAGCAAGTTAGCAACAGCACTGTACAATATGTTAAGAAACCGAGGGTAAAAGATGACTGTAACAGAGAGAACAAATACATTGTATAAATACACTAGAACAGAGGTGTCAAACTCAATTTCATTGAGGGCCGTTGTGTTTGAGCTTGGGAGGGCGGGGTGGGCGTGGCAAGGGTGGGCATGGCCAACTCAATGTCACTTGTGTTGGGGGTGCCTGTGGTGGCCTGAGCACTCTGCCAGTGAAAATGTTTTTGGCTGCAACGGCCTCCTGCAACCCTCTGCCAGCAAAAACTGAGCTTGGGAGTGCTGCCTGTGGCCCCCATGAGCTCTGTTTTTAGCAGCAACGGCCTCCTCAACCCTCTGCCAGCAAAAACGGAGCTCGGGGGTCCCGAGTTCTATTTTCGCTGGCAGAGGCACTGCGGGCCGGTCCTTTGCTGTTTCCAGGGAGGCCCCATGGGCCAGACCTAAGTACCCCAAGGGTCTTGAGTTTGACACCCCCGCACTAGATGTCAGGATTCCGGCAGTTACCCCCATTTAAATCATATAAGTTTTGGAGCCAAACTTGCAAAACTTAAAAAAGATTTATTGGGAATTAAACTGTACGGCATTGCCTGGGTGTAGCCAACTCTGAGACACGTAATTCATTGTCACTCTTGATCCTGGTTTTCCCCCACCCTTTGGGTGTATCATAATTCATATTCTCCAATGGGACACATCCATAGCCAAGAGTCATCAGTCTTGCTCTCCAGTTAGAATTTTGCACGGCAGATACTTCAGTCCCCTAGAAACTATCTTTGAAAACATTTATGGAATGCAGTTCCGGTTTGCAAGTGGCTGCACTGCTCCCCCCTCCCTTTCTGTTGGCAACTCTAAAAAAAAAGGTAGAAATATTTTATGAGTTGACCGATGTATCCCATAGTGGATGCATACTCTGGCCCAGCTCAAGGCCTGGGAAAAAAAGCCAGGTTTCCATTTGAAAGAAAGCAGGGTGGGTCCAGCAGGGACAGTGCTGGGATAAGGCACCACAGCAGAGAAGGCGCACCTTCTGGGTGCTCTAAGGTGGCACTTTGATAGATGGACCCAGAACATGCTTATAGCAACAGGCAGGAGCCGTGAAAGAAAGACTGTCCTCCATGTAGAGTTAAATCTTTTGGAGATTTAGGGATTCTGGGCCAAGTCAGGTAACCCTTGACTTATGACTACCACAGTCGGGATCAGACTTCCTGTTTTGCTAAGCAAGATGGTTGTCAGGTGAACCACGGTGGATATTATGACCTTTGTGCTATTTGTTGTTAAGCGAATCAAGGTGGTTAAGTGATTCGTGCAGTCGTTGAGCAAATCCAGCTTCGCCATTGACTTGACTTGTTGGGAGCCAGTTGGGAAGATCACAACCGGTGATCACATGACCAGTGCAACCATTGTAGCTACTTCATGGTTGCCAAGGGCCTTAATTTTTATCACATGACCTTGGGGATGCAACAACAATTGCATAAGTGTGAGGACCAGTTGTTTGTAATTCTTTTTCAGTGCCATTGTAATTTGGAACGGTCACTAAATTAGTGGTGGCAAGTCAAGGACTACTAGTTGTAAAAATAGTAGACTTGTTGAAGAAGCAAAAATGCGAGTGGGAGGACTAAATCCCCGACTAGTAAACTGTGTGTAATGTTCCCGTTTATTAACATTTGCTGCACAGTGGAACGACTCCTATCAAGACAAGCAGAAACATGCTTTTCGAAAAAAGGAAGTATGAAGTTCTCCGTATTCTTCACAAAAGCTGTGATTGTAAAGATCGAATTTATAATGGTACACTTGCAAGGAGTATCCACAGTCGGGCCAAGTAAAAATAACTCTTGGTTTAAGGAGCCATTGATCTTTTGTTTGTTCCCAGCTTTGAGGAAATAGAGGCACCTTGAGAACAAGGATGCATTGCCCAAGTACCCAATTTTTTCTCACTGGTTTTAAATTTGTAGCCTGCAGAATGATCAGCTCTCGAAGGCTGGACAGGAAAGTAAGGTGAGAGAATGCTTTACTATCAAAGCTTGCTTTGACAGAGCACTGAATCTTAAGCTCTGGGTTCCCCTGGATGATTCTATTACACTAAGCTGTCAGCCTTAAATAATCCTCACGGCAATATTGATGGCTCTAAACATTCTGACAATGTACTTTTGGAAATAATTTCTGTCTTCTTTAAAATGCTCTTATGATAAATGGATAAAAACAATTCAGAATAATTGTGTGTGTATGTGTGTATTTATATTTATACTAGCTTGATACCTGTGCTTCGCTACAAAACTATGTGATTGGGCTTACTTTTTGGGGAGGAAAATAAGGGGTGGGTGGGATTCTGTCTCTGCCTACCAGCATCCATCAGTATTCACCTGCCTAGACTCCTGTCAGTGTGTGAGAGAATTGAGGGCTATTTGGAAACTGAAACAGTATTTGCTGTGTGAGCAAGGAGACAGCAAGGATCCTGGGCATGGCTTAGCTCAACTGTTTTGTAGTAAAGCTGGTTGCTGCTATGAAACTGAAACCGAAACTCCTCTCCTCTGCTTGTGTTTTGCATTTGGAACAGATTATAAATGTCCTTACATCTAAAAACATCCAAGTTACCCAGGAGCTTGCTCTTCCTAAGACTATCATCTGTGAACTATCCTTAAATATCACATTTCGATTTTTACTATGTTACAGCACACCTGATTATGACATCGAACATGTAAACAAGCTGAATTCACTACTAACATGGGCAACATCCTGTCCACACACTTTTATCTTTCTTGGTGACTTCAATCTACCTCATATTAACTGGACCCTAAATGAATGTACAACTGAACCCATACATGCAACCTTCTACAATGCTGTTACAAATCTAACTAGTAACCAACAATACTAGACTTAACAACTGCCTCAATCTTATGCAATAGTTTGAATTTAATTTACGGAATACAAACTAAAGAACCCTTTTCCAACAGTGACCACAATATGATTGACTTTTGCCTCAACATACACTCACACAAAAATCATCACAATGATGTAATCCCCAATTATAACTTCAAAAAAGGCAACTATGATCTTATAGACAATGATCTCTCATCATTAATTGGCAATCTCTATTCTCTGGATACAATACTGTAGAAGACCATTACAACGTATTTTTACTTGAAGTCAAAAGAGTCATCAAACTATATGTACTATTAAAAACTCCCAAAACAAACAAACAAAAAAAACAGATTACCCATAACAATAAGGAAACTTCAATCCAAAAAGAGATCACTTTGGTGGAAGAACAGATCTGGTCACGTTGCCAACTTCAAAAGCTGATACAAAAATTTATGCCACCAGATAAAGACTGAATGCACCAATTATCACATTAAACAAGAGGAAAACCTTCTACGCACCAATTCCACCCGCACTTTTTACAATTTTGTAAACAACAAATTAAAAGACTCAAAATCCATCCCACCCCTGAAAGGACCTAATGGTAAAGACTGCAACGACAATACTATTCAAGCCAACCTCTTTAACACATTCTATGGCTCAGTATTTGTAAACAGCAATGGATCATGCCCAGTATTTCCTAGCCGAACCACAGAAAATTACAATGATCTAATACATATCGATTTTACAGAAGACAATGTTGAAAAAGCACTACGCAATCTAAAACAATCTCTATCTATTGGACCAGACGGAATATGTGCCTACTTCTTAAAAAAGCTATCCACTGCCATAGCGGAACCTCTAAGCATAATCTTTGAAAAAATTTTCAGGACCAGCTCCTTGCCTAACTTATGGTCACAAGCCACGATCATCCCCCTCTTCAAAAAGGGAGACCCCAGCCTAGTTGAAAATTACAGACCAATCTTCTTATGCTGCGTCACCTGTAAAGTCATGGAATCAATTATTAACCAATCCATCATCCTCCACTTAGAAACAAACAACCTACTCTCCAATAAACAATTTGGTTTCAGAAAGAAACTATCCTGTAATCTGAAACTCTTACACTGCAAAAACTTATGGACTACACAACTCAATCAGGGCAAAGCAATAGACGCAATCTACATAGACTTCTGTAAAGCCTTTGATTCAGTGGTACATGACAAACTACTCCTAAAACTGGTATCTCTGGACACCTACATAACTGGATAGAAGCATTCCTGTCAAACAGACAACAAATGGACAAAATTGGGAGTGTCCTATCAAATTCTGTACCTGTCAATAGTGGTGTCCCCCAAGGCAGTGTTCTAGGACCAACTCTCTTCATACTCTACATAAATGACCTCTGTGATCATATTAAGAGCAAGTGTGTTCTTTTCGCTGATGATGTAAAACTGTTCAATACCACAGACAATACTGCTACCCTTCAAAAAGATCTTGACTATGTATCAGAATGGTCAAACAAATGGTAACTTCAAATCTCAACAAATAAATGCTCTGTCTTACATATTGGCAAAAAAAATCAGAAAATAAAATACAAGCTGAATGGTCAAGACCTTGTTGATGATCCAAATCCTGTCAAAGATCTTGGAGTACTCATCTCTAATGATCTAAGTGCGAGAGCCCACTGTTAACTACATAGCCAAAAAGGCGTTAAGAGTTGTTAACCTAATCCTGCGTAGCTTTTTCTCTGGTAATATCATACTACTAACTAGAGCATTCAAAACATTTGCTAGACCAATACTCGAATACATCTCATCAGTCTGGAACTCACATTACGTATCTGATATTAGCACAGTTAAGAAAGTCCAGAAATATTTCATAAGAAGAGTTCTCCACTCCTCTATTAGTTGTAGAATACCTTATGCCACCAGACTTGAAATTCTAGACCTAGAAAACCTTGAATTATGCCATCTTCGGTCTGATCTAAGTTTGGTATATAAAATCATACATTGCAATGACTTACCTGTCAATGAATACTTCAGCTTCAACCATAACAACACAAGAGCACACAATAGACACAAACTCAAGGTAAACCGCACCAAGCTTGATTGCAGGAAATACGACTTCAGCAACAGAGTGGTCAATGTCTGGAATACTCTACCTGACTCTGTGGTTTCTTCCCCAATAACTTTAACCTTAGACTCTCTACTATTAACCTTAGACTCTCTACTAATAGTAGACTCTCTACTATTGACCTCAGCCCTTTCCTAAGAGGTCTGTAGGGGGCATGCACAAGCGCACCAACATGCCTACCATCCCTGTCCTATTGTTTCTTTTATTTTGTTTATACATACCCATTTCATGTATTCATAACTATGTATATACTTATACGTATTATCTTGTAAGCAATTGACAAATCAAAATAAATAAATAAAACAAATAAAAATAAATTTCTTTTTAGGTGGGGAGGGGAAGTAGAACTCCTTAGCATCAGAGCCTATTGATAATAACATAGGAAATACTAATGCTCTGATGGTCATTTCAAAAAAAAATTTCTTAGTGAGCACCTAGAAGCCAAGAGGAACATACATGCCAAATTTCTATTTTATAGGCTTTACGGTTCTGGAGATTTTTGTGATAATGTGTGAGGGGTATTTCGCATTTAAATATATAGATTTAGGGATGGGAATTGACTCGGTTTGAGTTGAAATCTCGTTTATTTTGCAGCTGAAGAACCGAATAACCGAGCCACGGGCAAACAGTTCAAGGAAAGGGAATCATTTGATGGCCGAACAATTTTGAAGGTCAGTATAAAATTGCCTCCTGGTTTATCTTATGTTAGTAGACTTTTAAATATCAAGTTTTGACTCAACTGTATGTTGCATATGATATTCCAGTGCAAGAAACACAGAGAATTTGACTCTAACATGTTGCTGGAATTTCCAACAACCCCAAAAAATTCTAAAGGGACTCTAATATGGCTCCCTAGTATAATTGTCAGACTGTTGTTCCTATATCCATTTATGTATAGGCAAAAATCAAATAAATGATAACGAAAAAGTGGATTTTGTCAGCTAAACTTTTAATCTAGAGGGGTTTGTGAACTACTTTTCCCAAAATAGAAAGACGTGAGCAAGAAAGACTGAACTCTTTGACCACATATTTATTTATTTATTATTTTTATCCCGCCTTTATTGTTTTTTTATAAATAAGGTGGCAAATATACCCAACTGTACTTCTTCCTCTTATTTCCCCCACAACAATCACCCTGTGGGGGCAAGAGAGAGGAACTGGCCCAATGTCACCCAGGTGGCACCTGCACAGGAACTAGAACTCACAGCCTCCTGGTTTCTAGCTTGGTGCCTTAACCACCAAACCAGTTGATGTAGCAAATGTAGCAAACCGCTGACTTTAGTTGATGCAGCAAATGACCAGGCTGAATCTGAAGGCGGGGTCAAATGCATCATCAGTCTGGAGTCCATACGCTCCAGAAAGAGATCTTAGTCTAGCCTCCCTTGATCAGATTCTTGGGTATAGCTTGTATGGAATAAATCTGCAGTGCTTTTGAACTCCATCATGTCTCCTGGTTTCTTGTACCTGATAGTTTAGTTATAGTTAGTTTAATTATATATACAGAAATATTCTTCATCTGAAATTTAGAATAATTGCAGATAGCCTAATACTTATAGTTGGTAAGTATTTACCGGTAGTTGTAATGATCCGGGGCATGATGGCACACAGTCTGATAATCAGTAGGAGTCCCTTTATTAGCTCCAACTTTGTAAATAGTTGGACAGCGTTGAGGGAATTATTTGTTTAGCAGAGTGATGGCGTTCGGGGAAAAACTGTCCTTGTGTCTAGTTGTTCTGGTGTGCAGTGCTCTATAGCGTCGTTTTGAGGGAAGGAGTTGAAACACTTTATGTCCTGGATGTGAGGGGTCTGTAAATATTTTCACAGTTCTCTTTTTGACTTGTTCAATATACAGGTCCTCGATTGAAGGCAGGTTGGTAGTAGTTGTTTTTTCTGCAGTCCTAAATACTCTCTGAAGTCTGTGTCTTAGTATTTATTTGCACCTGAGTATCCTCTTGTATGGCACTACTTCTAAGCAGAGAAACACATTAAGCGCCATCACTCCTCTTATTCATATCACTGCTCTGTAAAATGTGAAGCACAGCATTGGGATTCTCCACCCCCACCCCCCACGCTCAGCCTTAATTGATTTTGTCCAGCTCTAGCCAAAAAATACCCAATGACTCTTTGCTGCCTGAAAGAACGTGGATAATGGCCTCCAAGCCAAAATGCCACCTTTCTCCCACGTTCTTTCCCAGCCTCTTGACATTTCCTTCCTCTTTGCCGGGCACCCAGGGCAGCGCCCGATGGCACTTGTTATTTATGACTCATAGTTGGCAGTCGAGTCCCATATTGCTGCCCATTCATTGGAGGACATTCCTTCCAAATGATCTGATTGCAGGCCCCCTTGTCCCTTCCATTTCATAGATCCCTTCCTCTTCCGGGCATCTTATTTGCAAAGTGGTCTCTGTGGGCTTAGAGCAGGGGTCTCCAAACTTGGCAACCTTAAGACTTGTGGGCTTCTACTCCCAGAATTCCTCAGACAACTTTAAGACTTGTGGACTTCTACTCCCAGAATTCCTCAGCCAACTTTAAGACTTGTGGATTTCTACTTCTAGAATTCCTCAGCCAGCTATGCTCGCCAGCTGAGGAATTCTGGGAGTAGAAGTCCACAAATCTTAAAGTTGCCATGTTTGGAGACCCCTGGTTTAGAGGACAAAGCCAGAATTACCACATTTGTGAGAAAAGCCACTCCAATTCCTTATCAAGGCATGTTCGGCAGCCATCCCAACACCATGTGCTATTAATTCTCCATTTGCCTTTATAGCTTTGATTCTCCCACCCCATCATTGTTAGTTTTTGATCCTCATTTGTGTTTTGTTCCTTAATTGCTTTGCTTTGAGAAGGCTTATGCCCCAAGGGGCACGATGGGGTTGATTGTCCCAGTCTTACTTGATAACCAAGAACAAGGCGATGTCAGACCAGAACAAAAACATTTCAGTGAGCAGCATAAACAAAAGAGGTCAAGCAGTAGCTGAGCTGACAAAGGAATTCCCCGTGAAAGTAATAATTAAAGTGTACTTGAAAACTTCAAATGGGAACAAGGGACAATGCTAAACTGCTTTATATCCAGCCAGTAATAATTTGCAATATTAATGCTTCCCACACTGTTAAGTAGCTATTCCAATATGCTTTTATACATTTCATTTTAGGACTCAGTTTCTTCAAACAGATACATGTTTAGAGCCAATACCTGCCCATAAAGCTTTCTCTACCCATGTTTCCCCGAAAATAAGACCAGGTTTTATTTTCTTTTGGGTCCCAAAATAAACACCAGGGCTTATTTTGGGTGGGTGTCTTATTTTTTTTCCCACGCAAGAGGGATGAAGCTGCCCCATGTGCCACGTGCTGTCTTACCTCAGTGTCCCTGCAGCCAGGCCATCCATGCCCCGACACCTGCCTCTCCTCACGGCGGCAGCTCCAACAGTTCCATCCATCAGGACCCCATGTGGTTTCCATCCCACTTCTTCTGCTTGTTTGTGGCCACAATGAGCAGAAGGCTGAGCGAGGCACAGCCATGAAACAGTTGTCAAGGTGTGGATGGCCTGGCTGCAGGGGCCCTCAGGTACGCCAGTGCAGGGCATGTGGAACAGCTCCACCATCTCACCACCTACCTCACGAGGCTGTTGTTCTGAGGAAAATAGGAGGAGGAAGGTGCTGTGGATATGTTTGCTACCTTGTGTTATTTGTAAAAATATTGAAGGCAAGATACAAATGAATACAATATAATAATAAGTAAAAGATGTTGCAGTCTTTTAAACAGTTTAAAAGACTGCAACATCTTTTACTTATTATATTCATTTGTATCTTGCCTTCAATAAGCCCAAATCCATCTTGACCACAGAGCTGACTATATGGAAGATGCTTTCTTAATCTAATTTACCTCCCATGTTGAGGTGTTGTGCTCCACATCCCATGCTTTTGTAACAGGAGAGTTACAAGCCAGCTGTGCCGGCTCTTAAGTAGGGCTTATTTTGTGGGTGGGTAGGGCTTGTATTAGGTGCACACATAAAAACATGCTAGGACTTATTTTCATGATAGGTCTTATTTTGGGGGAAACAGTATCTAGCTTGGTTGATCTCAGAAAGCTAATTAGGATTGGATAGAAGATTACATGGAATCCCAGACCTTGTGGATTAGAAAATGAAAAGGAAGAAGACAATGCAAATCATTTCTCTTGTCTTGTTGCCAAGATAACAATTTGGTTATTCAATGTTGTTAACAAGTTAAATTTGACTTCAAGGATTATTTCCCTTTCCCTTTATATTCTCAGTATTATTTTTTTATTAAGAGTTTGAAAAAGATTAAAGTGAACAAGAACTAACACAAAGTAATAAACCAAAGAAGAGTAAAAAATAATTTTTTAAGACAAGACAATGAGAAAAAGTACAAAAAAGAATGGAGAAAAAATAGAAAGTAGTGACTTTCAATTTTCTTTGTAACAAATCGAAGTACAATTACAAAATTACCACATGGTAACAAAAAAAAGCTTTATTTTTTTCTATCATCTGTTTTTCTCCACTCGTCAAAGTCATAAATTATAAGAGCACTTGTTTTCTGTTTCATGCAAAAAAAATCTATCAGGTGTTTCTAGGCATCAATAAACGTAGCTTTGTATTTTCTCTTAACAAAGAAAGTCAGTTTTGCCATCTCTGCAAATTCCATCATCTTCACCAACCATGGCTCCATGGAAAGTAGTACCGAGTCTTTCTGTTTAAGTATATAATAATTTTGCTGCAGTTACCATATATACAAAAAAGACCCATGACTTTCCCCCAATATCTGTTCATCAATCTCTCAACCCTCCCCCCCCCCCCCCCCACCCCCCCCCCCCCCCGGTTTCAATTGAATATTTGTCTTTAAGATTTTCTAGTTCATGTATTTGCATCCAAAACTTTCTGGCTTTTTTTTTTATACACTCACCAAACATAATAAAATGATCCTTCCTGTTGTTCACACTGTTTCTTTTTATTCCCAAAGCAGTATTTAAGAGTATTTCAGTATTTCAGCAGTATTTCAGTCTTTAACTTGCTTTTCTCTTAAGACAGGGGTGTCAAACTTGATTCAATTGAGGGCCGAGTTAAGGTTGTGTTTGATCTTGTGGGCTGAGGTGGGCGTGACCAGGGTAGGTGTGGCCAACTTGATGTCACTCATATCAAGGGCGACTGTGGTGGCCCCAGTGCTCGGCTAGCAAAAATAGGCTCCTGATCTTCGTTTTCGGCTGCAACGGCCTCCTGCAGCCTTCTGCCAGTGAAAACGGAGCTCTGTTTTCATTGGCAGAGGGCTTCGGGAGACAGGGCCTAGGAGGGCCTGAGCAGCCCTCCCGAGTTTCGTTTTCACTGGCAGAGGCACCGCGGTACGGTCCTTTGCTATTTCCAGGGCGGCACCGCGGGCCAGATGTAAGCACTCCGTGGGCTGGATCCTGCCCCCGGGCCTTGAGTTTGACACCCCTGTCTTAAGACATTCATAGTAATATATTCTATTTGTAATGGAGAAAAAGACAAACATAGAGGAACTACCAATCTTACATCTTCATTCTAAATCAGCTTTTCCAACCGGGTACCCTTTAACTGCTTCAGATGTCAACACCTATAATTCTCAGCGAGCATGGCTAAAAGTGAGAAGTAACCTTGAAGCATATCTGGAGGACAAGAAGCTTCTAAAATCTGTGATC